CGCCGAGGAGGTTGCCGAGGAGGCCGCCGAGGAGGTTGCCGAGGAGACCGCCGAGGAGGTTGCCGAGGAGACCGCCGAGGAGGTTGCCGAGGAGACCACCGAGGAGACCACCGAGGAGACCACCGAGGAGACCACCGAGGAGGCCACCGAGGAGATCACCGAGGAGACCACCGAGGAGGCCGCTGAGGAGGTCGCTGAGGAGGCCGCTGAGGAGGTCGCTGAGACTACCGAGGAGACTACCGAGGAGACTACCGAGGAGACTGCCGAGGAGACTACTCAGGAGACCACTGAGGAAGCCGCCGAGGTCGCCGAGGAGGTCGCCGAGGAGGTCGCCGAGGAGGCCACCGAGGAGGTCGCCGAGACCGCTGAGACCACCGAAGAGGTCGTCGAGGAGACCATTATGGTCATCGAGGAGACCGTTGTGGTCGTTGAGGAGACCGTTGTTGTCGTCGAGGAGACCTCCGAGGAGGTGGCCGACGTCGCCGAGGAGGTCGTCGAGGTTGTTGCCGACGCCGTTGACACCACCGAGGAGGTTGTCGAGCTCGATGCCCCTACCATTAGTGCGACCATTGTGGACACCGTCGTCGAGACGGAGGCCGTCGTCGAGATCGCCACTGTCGAGGACGAGGAGGAGGAGATCATCATCTCCTCGACCGGCGCGCCGGAGGACGACGCCGACATGAATGTCGATGACGCCATGGCCAAGGCCATGGTGGATGCCATCATCCGCGCCGCCGTCATGGCCAAGGCCGAGGGCGCCCCGGCCGGCTCTTCCGTGGTCCTGTGCGCCAACCCCTCCTTCTGTCACGCATGCGCATGCATCATCATCCGCGCCTTCCCCTTGCTTGCTTCTTTCTCCCGGCCTCCCCCTCTCCCCCTATCTCTTTCTCTTTCCCTGGCGCGCGCGCCCCCCCCCCCACTAATGGTCTCCTTTTCCTTCCCTCCCTCTCCCCCCCCCAGTGATGAGGATGACGCTGGCAACACCATCGTTGTGACCATGCCCGCTGGTGCCGGTGCCGGTGCCGGTGCCGGTGCCGCTGCCCCGACTGCGCAGTTCACCGTCGTCGAGGCGGAGGATGCCGAGGACGAGTCCGAGGAGGAGGTCCAGGAGATTGTCCGCCCGGCCTATGGCCGCGCGCCGATCAAGTCCCTCCTGCGCGCGCATGATGACTCCGAGACCGAGGAGTCCGACGACGATGATGATGATGACGATGAGGACTTCGGCTCTGATGATGATGATGATCTGGATGAGAGCGACGAGCATCTTGCCCTGGAGTTCGCCGAGATCGATCTTGATCGTGACATCGCCCGCGAGACCTTTGTCGATCGTGTGGTCGCCCTGCGGGACATCGTGCCGCTGAACGTTCGCCGCCAGATCGGCGACGTCATCAGCCCGGTCACCGGGGCCGTGTCGTCGATCACCTCTTGGGCTGGCTCGGCCGCCTGGTTCGCCGGCACCTTCGCCGCCGTGGTCTTCATCCCCTTCGTTCTGTCGATGGACCGCGAGAACCAGCTGAACATGGCCCGCGAGCAGGAGGAGCGCATGCAGATGGAGCAGCGTGTACGTCCTCATGCGGGCGCTCTCCCCTCCCTGCCTTTTTGCAAAACCCGTCCATCATGCTGCCCTCGCATCTCTCGTCGCCCCCTTGGCCCTGCCTCCTTCGCTCGACTGACGTCTGTTTTGCCCTACTGTCTTTCTCCTTTTCTCTTTTTCTCCTTTTTCTCCTTTTTCTCTTTTTCTCCTTTTTCTCTTTTTCCCTTTTTCCCTTTTTTCTCTTTTTCTCTTTTTCTCTCTTCCTCCTTTTCTCTTTTTCTCCCTTCCGCCTTTTCTCTTTTTCTCCCTTCCGCCTTTTTCTCTCCTTCTCTCTCCCCCCCTCTCCCCCTCTCTCCCTCCACACATAGTCCCTCATCAACACCAGCGTCAACCCCTCGGTGGCCACCAACGTCTTCGGCTCCCCGACCCTGCCCGTCTCCAAGTAGACGGTTGTTGGTTGATGTGTAGGAATGATGAAGCCCCCTCGTCTCTCGCCTTTCCTCTCCGATGCTCTCATCACCTTGACCTATGTTCCCCCTCCCTCCCCTCCCCCTCGTCTCTTTTCGTGCGCGTGTGTCGGGGCCGGCACTTTGTCCTTGTTTTCTTGCCCCCCCTCCGCGCCCGGGGTCGGGAACGAAGGAAGAGGGAAATATGGATAAAGGGCACGTGCGAGAGGGAGGCAGGGCCCAAGAGAAAGAGAGCAGGGGAAGGGAGCTCAGGCAAGCGCTCTGGTGCGAGGGGAATGCGTGCGCGCCCCCCTCCCCCTCCCAGCCCCTGTGTCCCTCTCTCTTTCCCTCCCCCTCCCCACGCTATCTCTCCCCTGCACATGTGGTGGTGCCTTTCTGCCCGTCCTCTCTCCCCCTTCCCCTCCCTCCTCCCTCCTATGCCGCAGTGTCAGAGATAGGCAACCCCCGTTTTAGATCTCACCCTCCCCCCTTCCCCTTCCTGATAATACAAAAACACTTTCCACAGCCTCCCCCCCTCTCGTCTGGGCGAGCACGCGGCCCTCTTTCTTTCTCTTTCCCCCCCCCCCCCCCTCTCTCTCTCTAGATGAAGGTGTACATTCTCCCGACACTTCTTGTGTGTGGAGGGATGTGCGGAGGGAGGCGCCGCCACACGCGCAACGCCTCACCCTCTCCATCTGCCCCCCTCCCCGCGAGCTGATCTCCCCCCTCCCGGCCCGCGTACGGGGTGTGTGTGTGTGGGAGAAAAAAGAAGAAGAGAGGAGGCAGCACATCACACGGTGGAATCTTGGGAACATATTCATGTTGGACAGAGTGTTGGCATGCGCACAGGCGGGATATTATCCCCTACTCCCCCCCTCCCACTTCCCGAGAGAGGCGAGGCGGGGGAGCGGCACAGCAGGGGGGCCGGTGGGCGAAGTAGCGCGAGGAGGAATGCTACACATGCGCGGAGCGAGGGGGATGATGGGGGCGAGGGAAGGGGTCAAGCCGCCGCATGTGGGCCTCACACACGATAAGTTGGCCATCCACACGCGATCGGAGCGAGATATGTGCGCGCGCGCGCGCGCGAGCGCGGGCACGGCCGCGCAGGCAGGCTGCTAGTGCTCATCAAAAGAGCGGTGGTTTGTGGACTGCTGCTGCTTCAGGCGGCGCTGCTGCCGTGCCCACTCGGAGAACTCACGGAGCTGCTCCTGTTGGTTCATCTCGTCCTGGTGGAAGAGAGTCGGTGTGGAGTCTGACCGAAGGTCTATACGTGTTGGCACGCGCACACGCACACACACACACACACACACACACACACACATGCATGTGGTTAGACAGGTGCGCGTCACACATCCGCGGCAATGCCAAGGGGTGCCGGGGATTCCCCCCCCCCCCGACGTAGGGGAGAGCACCATAAAGAGGGTGAAAAAGCAAGGGAAGAGGGAGAGGCGGGCCCAAGGTCAGTATGCACATGTTGGTGAGCCTGGCGCGAGTGGATCTCACAGGTACACTTCCAGGAAGGACAGCATACGTGTTTTTCAGAGACGCAGAAAGGAGGGAAAGCGGGGGGGGGGGGGGGGGCTGGAGGAAATGCATATGTTTGGGAAGGGGCCCCAGAGGGGGAGAGGGAGCCTCCGGACACAAAGGGGCAGCTCTCCCTTTCCCCCTTTCTTCAATTGTTATGGTGATTTTTCGGCCCCTCCCCCCTCTCAGCCTGCCCTCCCGCCTTGTTCTTCACATTCTCCCTCCCTCCCTCCCTCCCTCTCTCTCTCTCTCTCTCTCTCTCTCTCTCTTTCTCGCTGTCTCGCTGTCTCGCTGTCTCGCTGTCTCGCTCGATCTCCCTCTCACGGCCACACGGGCGCGCGTGCGCGGTCCCCCCTCTTTCACCGGCGCTGGTCAGGTGCAGGCCCGGGTCCGAAGCCGTGAGGCGATGGCAGCCGGGTATGCCGCACTTGACCCCCGCCGATGCGATTGCTGGGTGCCTTGTCCACTCGGGCTTCGGTGTGCAGGTCCATCGAGGACCCCAACATCATGGCCCGGTCGGCCGAGGTCACCATGGCCGAGGTGGTAGTCGGGGCCGCGTCGGGATCCTGAGCCCGCGGGTGGGGGCCCCAAGCTGTGGTGTCTACCGTGAGGCTTGTGGCCACACCCCGGGGCCAACTTGCTGGACCTTCCTCCCGCCGAGAGGCCTGGCCTGTGGGGAGAGAGGGCAGCAGAGAGAGCGGAAGAGCGGAAGAGCGGAAGAGCGGAAGAGCGGAAGAGCGGGAAAGCGGGAAAACGGGAAATCGGGAAATCGGGAAATCGGGAAAGTGGAAAAGTGGAAAAGCGGACAAGAGAGGAGGGCAGGTGGGAAGGAGGGCGGGAGAGGACGCATTCACACAGGAGTGAAAGGAGTCTCAGTATGATTTGGGAAGGAGAAATGTTCTGATCCATCCGTCACAAGCATGTGTGTGTGTACGTGCGTGTGCGTGCGTGTGTGCGTGTGTGTGCGTGTGCGTGCGTGTGTGCGTGTGTGTGCGTGTGCGTGCGTGTGTGCGTGCGTGTGTGTGTGTGCTCAGCCGAAGAGTGCCTTCATTTGTGTCCTTGCCTGCTTTCTCCCGCAACATACCCGAAAGCCCCCAAAATCGGGAAACACACACTTACACACACACATGGACCTTCGCAAGCCCACCCGACCCCCCCCCCCCCCCCCCTCGTATTTGTCCCCCTTGACAGTCCCATCCTCCATGACGCCACACAGTGGGCCGGCTCGCGAGACAGACCCCTCGCGCCATGAAGGGAAGGGCCTCAGGCACTCTCGGCGCACTTCCCGGCTCCTCGCGGATTGCTGCCCCTGGCGTCACACGGGGTAGACAGGAGTATTCAATCCCTCGCCCTGGACATCCACAGCACTTTCTCCTCCTGGGCCTCCCCCCCCCCCCCCCCGAATGCTCCCCTCAGCACACTGAGGGGAGAGGGGGCCGGAGGGAGAAGAGGAAAGGGCTAAATGGAGAAGGCACGCGCACAGCAAGAAATGCACACACACACACACACACACACACACGCTCGCACGCTCACACACTCGCACACATGGACGCATGCACGCTTGCGCACATTGGGGAAGGAGAGAAGGAGCTCACGCACCACGAGACTGTTGCTGAGGAGTAATCCTCCCACCCGCGGTGGTGGTGGACGGCGACTTGCGGTGCGCCTGGGCACGGCGGCGATGGCGGTCATGGTCGCGAGCCTGGTCATCGACCGGCGGCAGCCCGGCATACCCACGGGCTGATGTCGACGTTGGCATGGTTTGCAAGATGGCATCGGCCTCGGCGTCGGGGCTCCAGCGCCAGGCACCGGCGCCGCCGCCGCCGCCGCCGCCGCCGCCGCCGCCGCCGCCGCCGCCGCCGCCGCCGCCCGTGGTGGGACTGTTGCCGGGGTTCGGAGGGGCGGACATGCGGCGACTGCCAGCCGAGCCGGAGCCCGGCTGGGCGTCCATCTGGTTGGCGCGGCCTGGCGCCGCCTGGGCCGAGGCCGCGGGGGCGGTGTCATGGCCATGGATGTCGGCCTGCTGCGGGCAGCACTGCTCCTCTTCGTCCGCCCCCCCGTCCGAGTGCTGGGGCCGGGATGGGGCTGCTCCACCATGGTGGCCGAAGGTGGTGGCCACATTCTCACACTGAGCCAGCGGATCCAGGTCCAAGCCGCGGCCGCTGTCTCCGGACAGGGAGGAGCTCTGGCTGTCAATGCCAGGGTGCTCGGCAGCATGGGGGCTTGTGTCCAGCTCGTCCTCCATCGGGGGCTGGGCAAAGCGCTGGGTTGCCGGATTGCCCGCGCCCGAGGCTTCGGCGGCGGCGGCGAGGGCGGCCGCGGCCGTCGGCGACACCGGCCCCGAGGGGATCAGCTGTTCTTGCTCCTGCTCCTGCTGCGAAGGGACGAGCGACCGCGGCTGCTGGCCAAAGGGAATCGACTCACCCGGCGGCCGGAGATGCCCTCCTGCCGGGGGCAATGATGCAGGCATGGCCGAGGGGCGGGGCCCCGGGGCAAAGCGCCCGCCCGGGCTACCCCGCTGCGCTTCCAGCTGTTGCTGCAGGCGCCCGCGATGGGCCGCATCGCCGGCGCTGAAGGCCGCCCGGCACTCCTCATGCTGGATGGCCATCTCGTCGTCGGTTCGCCGATGGCATACATGCGAGAAGTGCTGCTCGCCGCCGGGGGGGACCATCCCCGGTTCCGCTGCAGGTGCGGCCACCATTGGTGCTGACGTCGCACCGGCGGCCGGGGAATCCCCACGAGAAGCGGGGGCGGCGGCTGCCGCCGGGGGGCCGCCACTGCTGCTCTGCACCGAGGACGGCAAGCTTGCCCTTTGCAAATAATCCTCCGAGTCTGGCAGGCCAAAGAGACGCTCCGTGCTGCTGGTCGGCCCGCGGCCATCCGGCGACCGGCTCACGTCCGAGAGGACCTGATTGCGGATGCAATTGGTCGGAAGGGAGCAGTTGTGCATATTCCGACCCGGGCCCGGGCTCTTCTTCGATGACAGGGGTGGCAGCGGGGCCGCCAGCCGGGAGGCCAGACGCGACCCGCCGCTGCCGCCAGTGCCGAAGGCGCTGCCAGTCTGCCGCTGGCACTCGACCAAGACCAACGCATCGTCATCACCATCAGCACCGGCCGTGACGACCGAGGCATGGATTGCCACACGCTGGGGGGCTGCTGTCATGTCGGGGGCCGGGCGCCGGCCAGAACCGCCCGGTTGGCTGAGGGAGGTTTGGTGCTCCCGCTGCGAGTGGTGATGATGATGGTGGTGGTGGTGGCGGTGGCGGTGGGGGTCCGGCTGCTGCTGGCCGTCGCCGCCGTGGGGACGGCCCCGGTGGCGGGCGTCCGCCTCGTCGGCCGAGTGGCCCCGGGTGGCGATGGTGTGGGAGGCTGTCGACCCGGCGGGCGGGGACGACAGCCTGCCAGCAGCAGCGCCGCCCGGCCCGATCTTGATGACATGCTGGTGGACCGGGCATTCGATCAGGTCATTCAGTTGGTCGGAGGCCGAGCTCCCGGGGCCCATGCCATCCGGCGCCGTGCCGCTGTAGCAGAAGGGCGAGGAGTTCTTTCGGAAGGGCTTCAGCGACTGGGGCTGATTCGACATCTGGTGAGTCTCCGAGCAGGGGGACAGCGATCTCGAGGTGGCGAGCTGCTGCACCGGCGGTGGCTGGGCATCTCCCCCCCTGCGGCGGGAGGTGGGGCTGTCCGCCATCACGGCGAGACCGTACCGGCTGCTGGGGGCGGCGGCGGCGGCGGCGGCGGCGGCGGCGGCGGCGGCAGTGGTGGTGGTGGTGGCATCGTCAGCACCACCACGACCACCACCACGGCGGCTTCCTCCATCACGCGAGGGCTGCTGCTGTTGCTGGGACGGCGGCGGCGGCGGCGGCGACGGCGCCGACGCGTATGCTTGCGACTGCATCTGGCGGGCGGCGCCGCTGGGGCCGGCCATCACCGAGCTGCCGGCAGCATCCTCAGCCTGGGGCTGGTGGTGAATCTCCAGGAACCTGTTTCCCCCGGTGCTCGGGGGCGGGCTGATCCGTCCACCTGCATGGGGACAGGTCGACCCGCGGCCAGGGGACAGCGGCCCGCAGGTGGCCGGCCCGGCCGCCTGCTGGCGATGCTGCTGGCACCCCCCCGGGCGCATCGGGCGGAGCTCCATCGGAGTGGCCATCGGGCCGTCTACCAGGCCGTCGATGGTGGCCCCGACCGAGTGGCGCCGGGCAGCCGGCGACCCGGCCCCTGGCGCCAGGGGGCCCTGGGGCGAGACATTGGCATCGCCATGGCGCCACTGACGCTGCTGCTGCTGCTGCTGCTGCTGCTGTGCAGCGGCCTCAGAGCCGGGCCCTCTGCCGAGGGTGGGCAGCAATTCGGGATTGGATGTCTGCTTGCGGCCGAGATTGCGCATGACCGTGGCCGACGGCTTGACCATGCGCTCGCCTGCGCCGGCGGTGGCGGCGACCGCGGCCGCGGCGGGGCCCGATGCGGCAGAGGCCCCCGGCGATCCGTACGTCGGGAAGGATGTCCGCCGGGCCTGGGTCGTGGCGGCCGGCGGGTTGCGACCACTTGCCGGGTGATACATTGGGCAGGAGGTCTGCCGAGGATCGCCGGCGGCCATTGGGCTGCCTCCAGACCCATCGGTGGCGGTGGCGGCCTCGGCCCTGCGCGGGGCCCCGCCCATGGGGCCTGCCGTGGCGGCGGTGCCGGCCGTGGTGGTGCCGGCCGTCGGCATGGAGGGAGACAGCACCGACGACGAGGAGGAGGACGGCGAGGAGCCCGCACCCGAGGTGCTGGGGGTGTAGTAGCCGCCGCGGCCGCCGCCGGGACGGGCGTCAGCCCGGGCGCCGGTGGCCGTCGACGAGGCGGGCGCCGCGGCCGCCTGCCGAGCTGGCGGCAGGCCGCCCAGCTGGCGCGCGGCCAGGTGCGGGTCACCTCCGGTAACCATGCTGCTGCCGCCGCCGGCGGCGGCGTCATTGACGGGCGGCGGGGCCCCGCCCGGCATGCGGGGGGCAGCTTCCGAGCCGGCCATGCGCCCGGGCGACACCGGCATGGCGCTCGGATCGCCGGCCATGCGGTCCTTGTGGGAGGTCGGGGCCGTGGTGGCCATCGGCGGCGGTGGTCCGAAGCCAGCGCCACCGGCCGCCGCCGGCGGGAGGCTGTGCAGCTCGCGCAGCGTCTTGTGCTGGGAGGACTGCCGGTCGGGGGCCGGGATCGGCGGCTGCGGGGCCGGCACGGCCGCCTGGCGGGCATCCTCAATGTGCCCGAAGGCATCGTATTCGTGCATCGGAGGGGTGTCATCCTCGTCGTGGGCCATCATCATGGCCATGCGCGAGGAGGCCGGGTCCCCCCCCCCCCGGTGCGAGCCATGCCCATGGCGGTGATGGTGCTGCTGGTGGGGCGCCGGGCGGTCGCCGGCGACGGCGGCCGCGGCAGCCGCCGCGGCAGCCGCCGCCTCCGCGTCGGCCTTCTCCCGCATCTGCACCGATCGGCGGCGGTGGTTCAGGAAGTCATTGCGCGCCTCGCAGCGACAGAGGACCGGATCCAAATTGAGGCAGCCGGTGGATGCCGCTGCCCTGCCGGCTGGCCCCCCCCCGGTGGCCAGGTCGGCATCCAGCTGGGGCTGGCCGCCGGCCTGGCGCTGGGCCCGCTCGAACTCCTCCAGGCAGCAGCACCCCTCGAAGCTCAGCGGCCGGAGCTGCCACCCATGCAGGTACCCGCTCCAGGAATCGGCATTCAAGGCCTGGCGGCGGTTTTCCGCCTCGCGGTCGGAGGGGTCCTCCACACGGATGAGCTCCCACGAAGACCAGTAGTGCGGGTCCGGCTTGAGGGTGATCACTCGGGTGCGGTTCTGGAAGTCCACGGTCGTCAGGCGAAGGTAGGTGCTGTCGACATCGGTGTCCACCACCGGCGACGAGGGCGGCAGGAAGAAGGAGGCCCGGTCGGCGTGCGAGGCCGGCGGCTGGCGATGGTGGCGCTGGGCCGCCTCGTCGTCCTGGCCGGCGGCCGGGGGGAGGCCCCGGCGGTGGGCGGAGTCCTGCTCCAGCTGGCGCTTGCGCTGCAGGCGCTCATACTCGGCCACACGGCCCTCGGTGGCCTGGCGAATGGCCTCCACGAAGGAGTCCAAATCCGGGCAGGGGAACCCATCGCAATCGGTGATCCACACCGTGGCACGGAGCCCGTACATCTGGGCCGGCGAGCCGGTCGACCACCAGGACGAGTAGACCCCCCCGGGGGGGGCCGTGCGCCGGAGCTGGAACACCGGCCGGTGGGGCTGCTGCAGGGCCGCACCAGCCCACAGGATGACACGCTGGGTGCCGATGGTGTTCACCTCCACCAGGGGAATGCGGAAGGACATGACCAGCCCATCGCGGAGGATGGTCAGCACCACCTTGTTGGGCTGCTGCATGCGCATCGCGGCCAGGCGCTTGGCGGTGATGTGGCCCCCGCCGCTGCCATTGACGCCGGAGCTGCTGCCGCCGCTGCCGGGGCGCCGGTGCGGCGGCCGCTCGGCCCCCTCGTCATCGGCCGCCGGGTAGCCGCCGCCGACCGGGGCGCCGCTCTCATCGTCGGCCGACGAAAAGGCATAGTCCTCCTCGTCGGTCAGCGAAAGGGCCTCCAAATCCGAGGCATTCAGGTCCAGGTCGCTGTGATCACTCAGGTCCGAGGCCATGGCCTGGTCATGGAGGCGGAGCCAGGCGCGCTGCTTGCGCCGGCGGTGCTCCTCGCGCAGCTGGCGCACCATGTACCCATCGAGGCCGTCGCCGCCCTGGATGCTGGCCCGGCGGGCGGCCTTGGCGGCGATGGTGGCCGCGCGGGCCGTTGGCGAGGGCGGCGGCTGGCCCGGCGCCGGTCCCGTCACCCCGATCGAGGGGGCCGCCGGGTGGTGGCTGTCCTCGGCGGCCAGGCTGGCCGAGTCCGTGCTGGAGGTGGGCTGCTCGCGGCGCGAGCGGCGCTTGATCCGCTCGCGACGCTGGCGCCGGCGCTGCTCCCGCGTCTCCAGGTGGAACTGCTCCAGCACGCCGTCTCCCAGGGAGCCGATCTTGCCGCCGGGCGGGCGGCCGCCAGGGGGGGCACCGGCCCCGGCCCCAGTCGCCTCCCCGGTGGCCCGGAACAGCTCCAAATCCGTGCTGCTGCGCCACCCCTCGCGGGACACATCCTCCGGACGGGGCAGGAGCACGGTGTCATCGCACTCAATCCCGGCCGTGAAGTCCCCTTGGAGGACACTGTCCAGGGCCCGGGCCGTGGGCACGATGCGGCCATCGCACGCCAGGATCAGGTCGCCCTCGCGCAGGCACATGCTGGCCGGGGTGCTGGCCGCCACGCGGCGCACCGCCAGCAGGCTGTTCCGCCGGGGGTTGGCCCGGGCAATGAGGGCCAGCCATTCATCGCTGACGCCCAGGGCGCGGGCATTCAGCACGGAGTTCGGCCGGACCTCCACCTCCAGGCTGAAGATCTTGGGCACGCGCACGCGCAGGTCATTGGTCTGGCGGCGCTGGCGCCGGTGTTGCTGCTGCGGGCGCGGCACCCGCTGCCCCGGGTCCGAGTCGTCCATGCCCGACGGGGTCGGGTCATCGAAGTTGGCCGTCATGCGGCTGACCACCGGCTGGATGATGCCGGACGGGATGCCGGCCCACAGCTGGGCGTCATTGCCGTCGGAGTCCTGGAAGGCGAAGGAGGCCCAGAAGGCCCGCATGCGCCCGGTCACCGGGCACAGCAGGACACCACCATCCGCGCGGGGGGAGTTGTCCACATCCACCACGTCGATGTTGGTGGCGCGGTACCGGGGGGGGTTGGTCTCGCGCAGGAGCAGCTCATAGGAGTTGGAGATGGTTGTCAGCCGGAAGACTGTGTGTGTGTGTGTGTGTGTGTGTGTGTGTGTGTGTGTGTGTGTGTGTGTGTGTGTGTGTGTGTGTGTGTGTGATTGTCGGCGCAGGGCAAGGGCACATGGCCGGGGGTCCCCGTGGGGTTTTTGCGCGCCACAGCATCGATGGTCGTCGAAGTTGCGAAGGGAAGCCAGGGCCGGGCAGGGCAGGGGCGGGGGGAGGCGGCATGAGGAGGTGTTAGAATCGTGTGGGAGACTGGCAGGAGCGACAGGCCGCCGGCAAACCTTCCGCCAATGGAGGAGGAGAATGCACGGAGGTCGCCACCAGGGGTGGAGGAGAGGAGGGGGAAGGGAGGCAGAGAGACGCACCAACACGCGAGCCATTCAGGCCCACAAAGAGAACCCTGTCACCCTGCTCCAGCTCGCCGGACGTTTTAAGTGCATCGGCCGAGAGAGCGGCATTGGCCGCGGCCTGGCCGCTGGTGAGGGTGTTTTCCAGGCGACAGATCTCCTCATCGGAGGCCAGATCGCAGGAGATGGGCACCCGGCCGCATGTCTGACCGGGGAGCTCCATTTCCACCTCCTCCACCGGCGAGTCCAGCAGCAGACGCGGATCATACTGAATGATGACATAGTTGTGGTTCGGGTGGATGAAAACTGCGCGCGCATGGGCGTGTGTGTGTGTGTGTGTGTGTGTGTGTGTGTGTGTGTGTGTGTTGGCGGCAGCAGCAGCAGCATGGTGTCAGGTCACCATCCATCCCCACGGTGTGCGTGTGTGCGTGTGTGCGTGTGTGTGCGGTGAGTACACAGGTTGGCCGGGGGAGAAAATGGCAGGGCCGGGAAAAGGAAAAAAAGCCCCACACACAGCCTGGCAGGCAGCCCACACAGGAGCACGCACCAATACGAGCCGGGAGCAGGATCGACGCGGCGAAGGAAACCGTCACATCTCCCAGGGCGATGGGCACGGTGTTGGTGTCACACATGACCAGGCCCTTCTCCTTGCTGACGATGACACCGGTGCCATTGAACCGCGTCCCATGGACACCATCGATGGCGTACGGGCAGCTGAAGCCCACGGTGACCAGGGCGCGCACCGTGCGCTCGGCCTCCGGCGGCATCTTGGCGCTGGTCTGCGGGAAGGTGACCACCGCGGCCTCCGGCATCATGGGCGGCAGCGCCGGCAGAGGGACCTGATGGCAGAGCCAGGTCCCGAGGCGATCATCGCGCACCCACTTTTCCAGCGGGTGCCAGCGCCGGTCGACCACGATGATGGTGGCGCAGGCGCGGTTCAAATCCCCGAGCGACACAAAGCGCACCGGCACCCGGGCCCCATCCGGCAGGGCGCTGAACACCCGAAGCCACTCGTCCAGCGTCGGGGTGGGCATGTTGTCCAAGTGGGTGATCACATCATCCGAGCTGAGCCCGGCCATGGACAGCATGTAGCCCGAGGAGGCGATGTACACGCCGCCCACCGGCACCGAGTAAGCCCGGGCCATCTGGTAGGACAGGGTGTGCACAATGCCGCCCGACACACTGACAAACCGATCCGGGGTAATCTCATGCAGGTCGCCCACTCGGACATTGATCAGCTGCGAGGAGGGGGACGCCCGCAGGGTGCTGACCAGGTCCACCTCGGCATTTGTCAGCATGCGCCCGGTGAAGGGGTTCTCGATGGCCGACGGCAGGAGGTCCAGGTCCAGGCCGCTGCTGCTGGCATCCGGCCCGGCGCTGGCCTCGTTGGAGCTGGTCGGCGGCGTCGCCGACTGCAGCCGGGCCCAGGTGTCGGCCGCATGGCCATGGGCCGCGGCATGGTCCTCGCCCTGCTGCTCAGCCCGGCCCGGGTCGTCGTCGCCGGGGTAGCCGCCGGCGCCGGCGGCCGCGTCGGCCGGAGCAGCCTCCTCGGGCGACTCCAGGCTGGCCTGCATGCCGGGGAAGGGGGGCAGGCTGCCGGTCCCGTCGGCCGGCAGCCGGGCCAGGCGCTGGCCACCGCGGTCCACCACGATGGCCACCTCCTGGCCGACATTGTCATCGAGGATGGACTCCAGGGTGACGAAGTCCACCACAAGCTGGCCATTGATGGCGATCAGGACGTCGCCCGGGCGCAGGCCGGCCTGGTCGGCCGGCCCGCCGGGGATCAGCTCATCCACCACCAGCATGCCGGTGGCACTGGGCCGCGCCCGGCGGACGCGGCGCTCGACCATGGCCGGCAGCCCCAAGCGACGGGCCTCATCGAAGGGCTGGTGCACGAACACCGCCTGCAGGGTCCCGCGCGGGATGTGGATCTCCCCCTGCTCAAGCAGGCGGAGGGCCCGGGCCACGCGGTCCAGCGGCACATAGTACGAGGCGGCGGCCTTGCGCTGGCCACCGGCATTCAGGGCGATCGCGTGGCCGGAAATGTCCAGCACCGGCGAGCCGGAAGACCCGCCCGAAGTGCCGGAGCTCGCCTGGATGTAGAAGGTGTTGAAGTCGTTGTACCGACCGAGGCCGTAGTTCGGGGCCTGGCGGTCCAGCCGGGCGATGGTGCCGGCCAGGATGGACAGCTTCTCGCCGGCGTCATTGCCGACGACGCGGATTTCGCAGCCCACACGCGCGCGCTCCGGCGACAGGGGAATCGCCTCGGCCCGCTGGTACCGGAGCTTCTTCGGGTCGAAGCGCAGGAAGCCGAAATCATGTACCGGGTCCCGGTACACCGGCCACACCGGCAGCTCCTCATGGTCATGGAAGATGGCCTCGGCCGTGATGGGACCCGGCGTGACAACATGGCGGTTGGTCAGGATGATGCCCATCTCGGCATTGACCACGAAGCCGGTTGCCTGGGAGGAGGACGCGCGCTCGGTGTCGAAGGACCGCACGAGGTTGATCCTGCGCCGGGTTGCGGCATCAGCGGGGCACAGGGAGGGAGGGAGGCAGGTGCGGGCGTTCGGTCCGGCGGTGGGCAGCGCATGGGGGGCGTGCCGGTGCCGGGTTGCATGGGGGTCATGATGATGATGATGATGATGGAGGAGGAGGAGGAGGAGGAGGAGGAGGAGGAGGAGGAGGAGGAGTCGGCCCCAGGGGCGCGCCGGGGGGCGCACGGCGGCGGAAGGCCGGGGCACGGAGGGGGGTCATGATCATACCGGCAAGTCAGGATACCGACAGGCGACAAGGGGGCAGGGAGGGGGGGGGGGGGCACGACGAAGGAAGAGCCGGGGGAGGAGGGACATGCCCCCCCGGGGACAGGCAGGACACACGCACCGCAGGGACACCACCGATTGCACACAGCGCCGGAGGGTGGACTCCCAGTTCTCCACCACATTGCCGGTGGAGTCCATGGCAGCCCGGGCGCAAAAGTGCAGCGTCGCATCGCTCAGGTCCACCTCCAGCAGGGAGTCCGTGCTGGACACGGCGCCCAGCTGGTCGGGATCGGTGGCCGGCTGGCCGGAGATGGCCTGGCGCTGGCGCGACTGTATGAGATTCAGCTTGGCCGGGCTGTGGACCGAGGAGGCGCCGGCCCCAGCAGCAGCCCCGGCGGTCGCGGCCTTGTGCCGGCCCAAGGGCGGGGGGGAGCTGACGGTTGGCTGGGCCGGCAGCCGGGCGGCAGGAGGCCGAGGAGCGGCGGCGGCGGCTTCCTGCTGCTCGGCAGCGCCCTCGCCAGGGTGGGCCTCCGGCGTGGGGTAGGCCTCACGCGGGGGAGGGAGATGCGGCCCGGCCGCAGGGGCCCGGGCCACCGGCAGGGTGGGCAAGGTGTCCGGGGCCGCCGGGACGCCGACTGGCATCGGGTCCGGGCGCTTGTCACGCGGGTGCAGGCCCCCGGTATGCGGGGCCTCCGACCGCGGCAGAGGGAGCTGCTGGCCGTCCGGGCGCTCGCTGCCGCTGGAGGAGGCGGCCGAGGGAGGCGGCGGCGGTGAGGGATCCCCCCCCCCTGGCGATCGAGAGGACGAGGAATCCCCCCCCGATTCCGGGGAGAAGTCCCGCGGGTTGAGGCCCGGGGCGTTGAGCGCCGGGGTGGGGCGCCCATCGGCCCGGCGGTCCTGGTGCGCTCGGAGGAGGACATTCCCGGCGGCCCCGGGCCGGAAGGGGTCGGACCCGGCCGGCGGGCGCTGCCCAGGCAGCGGGCTCACCGCCGCCTGGACCTCATCGGCGGTGGCCACCCGCCCGCGCGCCGACCGGGCCGCCGCCTGGCTGCCATAATAGTCATTGGTGAAGAGCTGCGTGCTGCCGCTGGCGGCAATCGGCTCGAAGGTGCGCTCCGGCGGGTTGTCGTGGAACTGCGGCGCAGGGGCCGCGGCGCCCGAGCCGAAGCGCGAAGAAGCGCCCCCCGGCGGCGGACCGGAGTTGGGCGTCAGCAGGCTCGGCGGCGGGGGGTTGGTGGCACCCGAGGGCGGGAGCCCGGAGCCCCTCTCCGGGGCGCGTGACGGCGCCCGACCGGCGTTCGCTCTGCGCGGTGGGATGAAGTCTGAGCCAGACGAGGGCGTCATATATGGCTAAGGTACTCCCTCTCTGCTTGTCTCTCTCGGTCTGTCGCGGTCAGAGAAGGGGGATTCCCCGGGTGTGAGAGAAGGGGCGGGGCCGGGAGGGTGAGGCGGGGCCGGGAGGGTGGGGCGGGGCCGGGAGGGTGGGGCGGGGCCGGGAGGGCGGGGCGGGGCTATGTGTGCATATGCGCAGGGGGCTGTGCGTGCGGGCGAGGCAGCGAGGCCTGGGGGCGGGTGACGCACCAAAAGGATGTCAGGGCTACCTTCCCACGGGCGTATACCAAGAGGGCGGCGGAGGAGGAGAGTCCCGGCCAGTTGCACGAACGACGGCGAGAGAGGCAGCAACACGGCGGTCAGTAACAGGGCGCGGCCCAGTGAGGGAGGGGAAAGGGGGCGCAAGGGCGGGGCAGAGATCTCGCGAAGGCGCCGGCGACCGGGCCACAAGCGCGGGCAAGGGTCGGTTCGTGTCACAGGTGCGCAAACTGGCGAGGCAACAGCGCGTGGTACACTCACACAGTGGGGAATAAAAAATGTGGAAAAGGGCGAATGTGTGTTTTTGGAACTTGGGAGGTCTGTCGCGTTGAGTGACAAACAAAATGGTTGGAGAAGGAAGCTAGGCCTTGTGTCTGGCCGGCCGGGCGCCGGGGCACCGGCCCACATAGCTCCCCTCCTGGAGGCGGGGGCGTCCACGGGGCCCGATCCATTCAGGTGTGTGTGTGTGTGTGTGTGCGTGGATGTGTGCGCGAGCGGGGGCTGTGTGTTGCCATCCCTCCGGTAGGAGGGCGAGGTGGCGCCGGGGGACAGGCGAGACGACCTCCCCACCAGGACCCATGCCCGGGATCTACACAGCCCCGCACACCACGGCTGCGGGACCGGGGGCATGCGGACATCCTCGGCCTCTGTTCGGTGCCCCCTCCACCAGTTGCTGCCCCCCCCCCCTGTGGCGTGGCTTCCACATCGCGCCATCGGCTCCCTGCTCGGCCAGCTGCCCCTCTACACGGGCATCCTGTCGGGGCGTGGAGGGGGCTATCTATCTATAATCCGGATCTCACCCGGCACCATGGGCGGCCCGGATCGTGCGTCCAATGCCCGAAGTGAAGACCGGCGACGACCCCTCCGCGCCCCCTCGCCCCGAGCTGCAGCGAGCCGAGACGCACGCTTCAGCAGCCCCGCCAGGTAGCGACCGCAGGAGCGCGCACATGGGGGCAAGAAAGGGGACAAACACCCCCCCCCCCCCCCCGCGTTCAGGATCTTGAACACATGCGACGACACGCGACGGCCGATGGTCCGGCACCAAAGCGGGGCCGCATCGAGGGGCAGGCCAGAAAAATGATATTTTTCGATTGCCGCGTCTCCCCACTCGCGGATCGACCAAAGGGCCGCCAGAGACCGTTCCGCGGAAGCCCCTGCGGGGGTCGCCGCAAACCGGCCGACCTGAGGGGGTATTCATGGAGGCGGCGCATACTCTCAGGCAGCGCGCACACATACACACACACACACACAATACGCACAGGGAATAGCGGCATATCTGAGAAGGGCCCCCCCCCCCCCCACCGGGGGGGGGGGGGCGGTCCAACAGGCAGAGGGACATGCTGGGGGAGAAAAAAAGGTGAAAGCCATTCCCCAAGTCCGTCCTCGCCCTGGCCCCCTCCCCGGCCCCAGCCCCGGCCCCGGCCCCGGCCCCGGCCCAGCGCTTTATGCACGACCAGCCGGTGTTGGTGTGATCGCGGAGCCCCCCGCCATCGTGCGGGGGTAGGCGGAAAAAGCGAGACAGCCTGAGAAACAGAGGGTTGGGGCTCATCGACCTTCCCCCGCCGTCCCCGGCCCTCGCCGTTCCCCCGGGCCAGGGCACGCCGATCATACACATGCAGACACACAGACACAGACACAGACACACACACGCACACACACGCACACACACACACACACACATGCAGACACACACACACACATACAATCGGCGAAATGCGGAGGGCCGCGCGAGACCGCGGGGGCCGGGGGGCCGGACACGGGGCCCAGCTGCCGGCGGACTCGGACGGCATCTATTTAACCCACCCGCGGGGCGATGCGGACAATGGCCGGCGAGGACCGGTTAAGGCGCGGGTCATGTGGATGCTCCGGGCACGTGGAGGATGAAATCACGCAGCCATGCCGGAGCTGTAGTGGTATCCCCCAATCTCTATAAACCAAGTCACAGGTTGAATTACAAGATCCCCACGTGAACGGCCCCGTGGAAGATTATGGCATGCTTGAATGGCATTCCTCCTCAGGAGGAATGCGGGGTAGATCGACAGCCAGATGGCCGCCGAGTACCGGGCCAGTTCGGTGGCCCAGGAAAGGAGGGAGACACGCGTGCGCGCGGGGTTCTCAGATCCACCCCACGACCAACCCAAGGTCAAAAGGGGGACTCCCTGCGGGAGCCTCCTGAGAGCGAAGACCTTAGCAGCTATGACGATGTTGACTATGTTGACGATGTTGAAGTATACGCTTGTATGCTAAGACAACCTGACAGAGTCTCAGCCCAGCCTGCGAACATCTGTTCTAAGGCTTCCTCTCGAACCCCTTTTGTTACACGAATTGCTTTCTATTTTGCTCGCCCCGCTAACTCGCCCCCTAGGTCGAGTTACCTTGTCTCGTCGCTAGTAATCTCATCACCCTTCTGGTTCGGTACGCCCTCCTTCATGCCCGAGCGGTCCCTAACCAGTAGTAAGATTTCCGGTATAGCTTCCGTCAAAGCTTCACTCCTT